ATATATTGATAACGGAACCGCTGGTACGGTGATATGGCAAAGATTGTAAAATGGTCGGTAAATAATGTCTGCGACAAGGCCATTGCCTTGTAGAAAAAAAGAGTTGCTGGTGTGAAATGGAGCAAAGAGGAGTCAATGTGCATCTTTGCTTTCGATGGGAAAGGGAAGGAGCTGCATTTTGGCAAGAGATGCAATAGAACTTACTGTTCATGGCGTTCATCTCAGCATAGTACTTGTTCCCACCCACGGACTTGCCAGACATAGTTCTGTAAATATACGTGGTCCCATCGAGCCTCTTCCACTGTTGCCCCTGCAAATGACAGGAGACAGGAGACATGTACACATCAGCCTGCCCACCTGCTCACAGCCCAGACCCATGTAAAACATGGTTCTCATTGTAAAAACTGGGAAAGCACAGAAATGTGTAAAGACGGGAAAATAAGAAAGTTTAATCTCTAGGAGGAAAACATTACTAATATTTTACTATATTTACTTTGGGTGCAACCATTTTTGTCTATCACAATATTTTTATATACTGAAAAATGTGGTGGCCTTTAAAATATATATTCAATTTTGTAGCATCTTGCATTCCAAACATTTTTTAATGGTAAGAATGCACCATAATTTACCTTACTAATTCTCCTATTGATTGATGTTTACATTGTTTCCAATTTACACTTTTTGCAAAGAATACTGCTATGAACCACTTTATTTGCAAAGCTGTTTCTGTACTTAAAATTATTCTTTAAAGCTAGAATCCCAGAAGTAGAATTTATGGCCAAAGGGCATGAATATTTTGAGGATATTGATATTTATTGCCAAACTGCTTTTCAAAAACAGTTCAGTTGTAGGAATTTACATCCTCATTTACTGGGTAATTTCTCCTTATCCTTAAAAATATTATTCATTAAGACAAAGCAAAAGTCTAATAATCTGATGTCAAATTATATTGTTATTCTAATTTGCATTTCTTTGATAACTAGAGACATTGCACAATTTGTTATACTGTTTATTAGCCTCGGTCATGAAGGTAAAAAAATTAAATCACAAAAAAAATCTGGTAGAAATTGATGTAAGAATTTATCCTATCTCTGAATGAGAGAGCTCGGATTGATAGCAATGTGAATATATAAAAATGTAAAATTCATTGTATAAAATATATGTAACATCTATGGCAAAGTTTATCAAGAAACAGAAAGTCTGGGGTTTTTCTCCTTGTATTCTTTGTGTTTTGGGGGGTTAACATAGAAGCCCCACAAAGAATCTGTAAACTGCAGATCCCGCATAGAGACCTCAGCAACCTCACATGTCATTTCTTACTATGAGGTATTGAGGCGGGTAAAATGAGGGACCAGTGAAGAAAGTTTAGGGTAACATAAAAAACATGATAGCATCTAGCAAAAAGCTTAGCTGAAAGTTTCCAACTTTAACTCAAGATCTAATGGGGGTTTAACTAAGCTTGGTCTCATAACGGGTCTGTGTGTGTGTGTGTTTATTTGTATACACCCGTATATACTTACACAAACTTGTTTTTTTTTTTTTTTTTGCCGTACGCGGGGCTCTCACTGTGGTGGCCTCTCCCGTTGCGGAGCACAGGCTCCGGACGCGCAGGCTCAGCGGCCATGGCTCACGGGCCCAGCTGCTCCACAGCACGTGGGATCTTCCCGGACCGGGGCACGAACCCGTGTCCCCTGCATCGGCAGGCGGACTCCCAACCACTGTGCCACCAGGGAAGCCCCACAAACCTCTTTTTAAAGGCTCTGAAGAGCTGGTAATTTTGTGTTCAAAGACGTGGGAGAACTTTAATTAGATAGGTCTGTAAGTGGAGGAAATTGTTTCCTCCCTAACCTTGAAGCTTTGGCTTCCATCAATCGGAGGCAGGTGACTGAAGAAAATCTGTTGTGTGTCAGTAGGCCTGGGGCTGTTTCCCAGAGAGGGACTATCTATCTGGCTTTCCCAAGAGGCCATTTGTGGTCCAAGTCTGGGGTTACCTTCAGCAGGTCATGCAGGCAGATCCATACGGGCTTGTTTCTTTGACAGCCACCTATGTATGTTGCTATGGTGTTGGCTTCCTTTAAATTCAGGATAGATGCCAGGTGGGCTCCGTTTCCGTACGACTGACACTTGAGCTGAGGGCAAGGAGGAGATGTGAAGTTTAAAAGCACAGCCCACAACCTAAATATCCATCGACAGAGGAATGGATAAGGAAGATGTGGTACGTATACACAGCCGTAAAAAAAAGAATGAAATAGTGCCATTTGCAGCAACGTGGGTGGACCTAGAGATTATCATACTAACTGAAGTAAGTCAGATAAAGACAAATATCATATGATATCACTTGTATGTGGAATCTTATAAAATGATACAAATGAACTTATTTACAAAACAGAGATAGACTCACAGAGTTAGAAAACAAACTTATGGTTACCAAAGGGGAAAGGGTGGGGGAGGGATAAATTAGGAGCTTGGGATTAATATATACACACTACTATATGTAAAATAGATAACCAACAAGGACCTACTGTATAGCACAGGGAGCTCAATATCTTGTAATTACTTATGAGAAAAAAGAATCTAAAAAAGAATATATATATGTATAACTGAATCACTTTGCTGTACACCTGAAACTAACACAACATTGTAAATCAACTATATTTCAATAAAAATTAGAAAAAAAGGAAAAGCACGGCCCTCACCTCAGAACCCTAGAGCACCAGGCAGCATGGGCACACACAGCCCCCACCTCGCCTTGGGATCTAAGCCCCACGGAAGACTTCCTGTCACCTTGGGAGAAAACACTACTGTCACAAGTGTCAGGCCTCAGAGAGGGAGGCAGCTGGAGGCAAGGGCATGAGCTTTAGGGTCAGTGGAAGTGCCTGGGGTCCTGGTCTTGCCTGTTTTTAGTGTATGTGACCTTGACAAGTCACTTCACCTCTCTTCCTTATCTGTAAATGGAGGAAATAATTAGGGCTACACAAGGGAGTTGTTAGGAGGATAGAATTGTTATAATTTTGTATTATAATACTGCACTTTAACAAACCTAAGAAACCACTGATTGTAAAATGTGCTGTTCTCTAACAAGACACTTACTGCCCAAATAAAGAAATCATTTTATATATGCACATTTTATAGCTAGACAGAGATATATACTTTATGCTCTTTTGGGACGGTGTTACAGGATCTGCCTACATAATAAAACAAATTAATTTAATAAAAACATGGTTTTGGCTGTGGTTGCTACTCTCATGTTTGCCTTTGAACTTGCTCAGGATTAGATGTGGTGACTGCTTAATGATAATTTACCAACCAGTTGATAATACCGGAATGTTTTTAAACCTGTAATTTCTTTCTTTTATTTTAATTTTAATTTTATTTTTTAACATCTTTATTGGAGTATAATTGCTTTACAGTGTTGTGTTAGTTTCTGCTGTATAACAAAGTGAATCAGCTATACATATACATATATCACCATATCTCCTCCCTCTTGCATCTCCCTCCCACCCTCCCTATCCGACCCCTCTAAGTGGTCACAAAGCACTGAGCTGATCTCCCTGTGCTATGTGGCTGCTTCCCACTAGCTATCTATTTTACATTTGGTATTGTATATATATCAATGCCACTCTCTCACTTTGTCCCAGCTTACCCTTTCCCCTCCCTGTGTCCTCAAGTCTACACACTCTACGTCTGCGTCTTTCCTCCTGTCCTGCCCCTAGGTTCTTCAGAACCTTTCTTTTTTTTTTTTTAAGATTCCATATATATGTGTTAGCATACGGTATTTGTTTTTCTCCTTCTGACTTACTTCGCTCTGTATGACAGACTCTATGTCCATCCATATACCCGTAATTTCATTTGACTTTTAAATTTGTGATGCCCGGAAGCTGGATTACCAGTCAATGTGTAGTGAGTGTACCAGTTACAAAAGATTCCTGGGACAGAAGAGGCAACAGGCTCCATCTGTTTAAATGATGTTTCCCTTTCCTGTCAGTTCACACACCTAGAACTCAGAGCGCTGCTCCTTCGGTCCAAGATCGGGTCTTCCTGTCATTTTAACTGCCACCTCCATCACCTCCAGGAGTCTTGTGAACTAAGATGCCAGCTAGGAACCAAGGAGCACAGCAGCCGTGGTGTCAATTTCTCTGGTCCTTCCTGGCACCTTCTCTGCATTTTGGTTCAGGAGTGGTTAACTCTGCTAAGGCTTGGTATCAATCATGTCATCTGTCCAGGATTTCTCCAAGTTGCTTCCCAAGAACTGAGGAGAAGTCCACTGCTGTCCATGAGCTTTTTCTTCTTTCATTGGACAGAATCTGGGAGGCCTTTTCTGTGTTTGGCTCTTTTTTTATTTTTTGCTATCATTCACATCTGCTTAGGAAAGCATTGCATTGGGGCCAACTTCCCTGGGTTTGCTCTGCTGGTTATTCTCGGTGTAATCTTGGGAAAGTCGCTTATGCTCATACTTCATTGCAATTTTTTGTTTAAATGTCACAATCTTGCATCAGTTCTGCACTTTTTAAGGCCAGAAAAGATCTTTGCATCCTCAGTAGCTATCACATGATAGGTGCTTCCTCATTCTGAGTTATTGATTTACAGGGATTCTGAGGCCATTCTGGGCCCAGATCACACCCCACTTCCCCACATAGCTCCCCAGTCAGTCACTTCAGTTTAACAGCCACAATTCAGAGACACAGCAGCACGACTCCCAACACTCTGAGGTAACTTATTCTGACTGGCTATGTGGGTATCTCTTAGAAAAGCCTCAGTGAAATAAAACCAATACACTTGTTGGGTTATGGAGACAGTGAGGCCTTGCATTTGTCTGGAATGCTTTGCTCTCTGTCAGGTGGCTCTGAGGCTGTCTATACACGGCTCTCTTGCTGGTAAATCTTGTATGGCAATTCAGTTGTTCTTTCTGTAATTTCCTCATCTCATCGTCTTTGGATTTATGTATTTCTGTCTTTCTCCCTGACAGTGAACTCCTTGAGGGCAGGCTGTTCCTTGCTCATCCTCATGTCTTTGCAGCCCATCCAGGGTCTGGGCCTACAGCATATGCTCCATCAATGCTTACACAATTAAAGGAGTTGAGCATATAACCCTCTACTCTCCATTTCACCAGCCAGGTTACTTCTCAGGATGCCAAGGAAGGACCCTTGGCTCTGAGTTGAATGATACCTGGAGCTTTGGGTGGCCCCTTGCTTTAGAGAAGCCTCTCCAAGCATGGGCCATATTTCTTACCTCAGCATCTGACCAGTTCTTCAGCTTCTGGAAGTATCCCTAGCAACAGGACTTGTAGTAAAACCATCCAGTAGCACAGCTAGGTCTCAGGATGATGGCTGCGCACAAACAAAAGGCAATTACAAGTTATGATGGCAAAAAGAAGCAATTCCCACACTTGAGCCAGTTTAAGACCTGGCTCCCCTTGAACGGAGGGAAGGCTAAGTGCCCTGGAGGAAGGATCCCTCCCTGCTGCAGAATCTTTATACTGTTAATCTTTCTCATAGCCTTCTCCAAAGGGGACTGTGGGCTTTTGCCAGAGTAACTGTGCATTGGGGGAAAGGAGGTAATCAGCTCTTTGAGGATTACTGGACACTGGCTCTGAACTGACACTAATTCCAGGAGACCCCAAACATCACTGTGCTCTGCCAGTCAGAGTAGGGGTTTATGGAGGTCGGGTGATCAATGGTGTTTTAGCTCAGGACTGCTTCAAAGTGGACCCAGTGTGTCCCCAAGCCCATCCTGCGGTAATCTCCCCAGTTAGGGAATACATAATTGGAACACACATCCTCAGCAACTAGCAGAATTCCCACACTGGTAGCAAGATCAAACAGCTATAATTCAAGACCTCACAAGAGTGAACGAGGGGCATAAATTGGTAGTTTTAGGTATTACAAGGAGGGAGTGATGTTTTGGCTAGGGGGACACAGGAGAGGTTAGATGGCAACTTGGCTGGAACTTGAGAATAGGGGGCTGAATGTCAGTAGCAAGGGAGGGGGACATTTTAGGCGAAGGGGGTGGATGAGCAGAGGAATGGTGGCAGCAAGAACAAGCACTTAAGTTTGCCTTAACTGTAGGGCATCTGTCAAGCAAGCACTGTAGAAGAGAAGGAGACATTCCAGGGCCTAGAAGCTAGGGAAGCTATGATCAAGAAAAGGCACAAGCTCCTCTGGCTAGTGGGTTGGTGAACGGGCCACATCACTGAAACTGAGGTTTCTGAAGAAGTGGAGATGTCTGGAAACACAGAGGGCCCAGATGATGAAGGGGATGCCAAGCTAGGAAATTTGGACTTTGTGCCAGTGTGACTGCACTCCAATGCTCTTGGTGGGTACAGGGGTCTTTCCACCCCCAGTGCATGTTCACGGACACTTTTGTGGTCACATAGCATTTCCTCTCTCCCTACTGAGATGACGCTGTTGTCACTTGCTTGCCCAGCTCTTCTGTTTTACTTCATTCCTTGCCTATAAATCTCCAGGGGCTTCCTGTTGCTTTCAGATAAGCTCTCCGCTCAGTTTGACATTTAAAAGCGCTCACAACCTGGTCTTATGGCCCTATTGAGACACAGCTCTGGTGCAGAAGCCTCAGCTCCATCTTGGAACACGACGC